TGTAGTCCCAGGTACTCGGGAGGCTGAGGCAGGAGGACTGCTTGGGCTCAGGAGTTTGAGGTTGCTGTGAGCTAGGCCAAAGCCACAGCACTCTAGCCAGGGGAATAGAAGAGACTCTGTCTCAAAAAAAAATAAATAAATAAAAAATAATAACCAAGGGGAAACTCTCAATCTGAAAAATATAATAACTGAAATTAACCCTCTAAGTGCGGCAGGCCAATAAATCAGCTCTGTAGGATATACTGGCCTGCCGTACTTTTTGCCCTAGACACGCTGATATTTCAGCCTGCCACGATAAGGGTTAAGAACCCCATATGTAGGCCAGGCAAGGTAGCTCACGCCTGTAATCCTAGCAATCTGGGAAGTCGAGGAAGGAGGACTGCTACAGCTTAGGAGTTGAGACCAGCCTGAGCAAGAGCAAGACCCCATCTCTGCTAAAAATAGAAAAAAATCAGCCAGGCATGGTGGCATACGCCTGTAGTCCCAGCTACTCGGGAAGCTGAGACAGGAGGACTGCTCAAGCCCAGGAGTTTGAGGTTGCTGTGAGCTACAATGACACACCACTGTACTCTAGCCCAGGTGACAGAGCACGAATCTATAGCCAAAAAATAATGATAATTTATTATACATTTATTTTTTAAAAAATTGTATTTCTATATACTAGCACTATAGAAACAAGTATATAAAAAATAATTTTTAGGCCGGGTGCTGTGGCTCACGCCTGATTGCTCAAGGTCAGGAGTTCAAAACCAGCCTGAGCAAGAGCGAGACCCCGTCTCTTACTCAAAATAGAAAGAAATTAGCCGATCAACTAAAAATATATAGAAAAAATTAGCCGGGCATGGTGGCGCATGCCTGTAGTCCCAGCTACCCGGGAGGCTGAGGCAGAAGGATCACTCGAGCCCAGGAGTTTGAGGTTGCTGTGAGCTAGGCTGACGCCACGGCACTCACTCTAGCCTGGGCAACAAAGCGAGACTCTGTCTCAAAAAAAAATAAATAAATAAAAATAATTTTTAAATTACACCATTTGTAAAATAGCATCAATAATCAAATACCCAGAAATAAGCCTAAACTACCAAACATTAAAAGAAACTGGAGACCACCTTTTAAAAAAATAGAGGAATATACTATGTTCATGGATCGGAATAGTCAAACTGTAAAAATGTCGATTCTCCCCAAACTAACCTGTAGAGTCAATAAAACTAAAACCTCCACAATTTCTTTTCTTAAAATTGACAAGTATATTTTAAAAGATATACATAGGGGTAAGGGCTAAGAATAGCCAAGACAATCTCAAGCAAAGTTTATACCACACGACAAAGTCTTATTATATTACTATAATTAAGGCAGTGTGGCATTCACTCAGAGAAAGGCAAAGAGACCAATGATGAGAGAGAAGAAACAGACCCATGTATATGAATCCACACATACACAGTGGTCACTTGATTTATGACAAAAGTACATTGCAGGCCGGGCGCAGTGGCTCATGCCTGTAATCCTAGCTCTCTGGGAGGCCAAGGCGGGCGGATCGCTCAAGGTCAGAGTTCAAAACCAGCCTGGGCAAGAGCGAGACCTGGTCGCTACTAAAAAAAAATAGAAAGAAATTAATTGGCCAACTAAAAATATATAGAAAAAATTAGCCGGGCATGGTGGTGCATGCCTGTTGTCCCAGCTACTCGGGAGGCTGAGGCAGGAGGATTGCTTGAGCCCAGGAGTTTGAGGTTGCTGTGAGCTAGGCTGATGCCACGGCACTCTAGCCCAGGCAACAGAGTGAGACTGTCTAAAAAAAAAAAAAAAAGTACATTACAGTGGAGAAATATGCCTTTTAAATAAATGATGCTAGTTATCTATATATCAGGGGAATGGTCTGAAAAAAAAAACAGCAAAAATATTCTCTCTTTAAAACTTACCCCACTCTTTGAGAACTGAAACCTGCATCCCTGCCTCCCAGCAGTGGTTGGGAGGAGCAAGGAGAAGACCTTAGTTCTTGTATCCCAGGCTGGTACCAGCCTGAGCCCCCTCACCATAGGCCTTTGTCTTTGGCAGAAATGGGACAATTAGAATAGTTAACCACAATAGCCTAGAACTGAGGGGCCCTCCCTTTAAAAGCTCTGTATTTCTGCTTATGCTCAGGAAATCTGGATTTTGAGATGAAAAGGTCTATCACTTTTCCTTGAACAAGTCAAACCACTTGTTCTCTTGTTCTTCTAATGAGGGCTCAAAAACAAGTGTCGAGCTTTTGGTAACATCTATATGGAGAAAAATGATTGACTCCTACTTCACATCATACCAAAAGAAAAAAAAATCAATTCCAACTGGAATATAGATCTAGATGTGAAAGATACATTTCCAGAAGAAAGCACAAACAATAGCTTTATTACCTTAAATTAGGCAAACATTTCTTTAAAAGGACTAAGCAAAAAGGAAGAAAAAACCCGATAATTTGGTCATTAAAATTAAGAACTTTTATTACTCAAAGACCAACACAAATGGAGTGAAAATGCAAGTCACAGACCAGGAGAAGATATCTGCAATATATACAGTCAACAAAAAAATGCTTAAAAATAAAGATAAAAACAAGATTTTAAAGAAAAAGTGCAATATAAACCAACATAACATTGCTGCTGAAACAAAAATAGTTTACGACTACATTAGTGAAATTACCAAGCCATGATAAAGTGAAGTAATAGCCTCACTTTATTGCTCAATAATGATGACATCTGAAATGTCATCATTTTGGAAAAACGAGTATATTTAGAGAAAGGAAAACCACTAACCAGAGATGTCATGGGAAAACTTCTATTTTACTGTGTAGAGAGATTAATTCTGTCATTCCCAAACTGAACACATATCCATAACAGTATGAAATTTTTTAAAAATACAAATATCCACAGCTACCATCATAAGCTCAATAGGTCTGGGAGTGAGGCCTGGAATCTATTTTTAATAACCACTTTGGTACGGTGCTCACAGGCCTCGAAACCTTGCCCACAACCGGCACTCATAGTCTGCATGATAGTTTGTGCTGTGCACTGACGATGAATCCGTTTTGCCTCTTGTGTGATGAGGAAAGCTTTAAAGCACTGAAAGCTTGTTTTACTTTACAGCTTTACATGTAATGTAAATCAGAATAGGTAACATATACATATATGTTTTTATTACATTATTGTTAAATGTTCACAATTTTATTTTGATAAATGAAAAATTAGAAAAGTTTTGTTATTAACGCTAACGTCAATGCTCGGCTGTGAGCCTTCATATCACGGATGTCAGCTGAAGTCGCTGTGTGCGTTCATCTGTGGCTATCGACTATAGGCGACGCTTGTACCAAAGTGGTTAAGGAAGCATGCTGGGTGATTTTGATACACCTATTAGTCTAAGGGTCAAGATCCTGTATTTGGAAACTATATAATTATATGGCTTTAAGATTGCTTATAGTTCCAAAATTCTAATGAAAATCATTTTTATATAAACAGTTTGTAGCAGAGATTTATCTTTGTAAATCAAAAGTACTTTAGCAAAATAAATTGAGAATATCCGAAATGTTTATCACTTTGACTAGTTTTCAATTTTTTCCCCAAATTCATATAACAAAATTATCACGAACTTGCAAATGCTATTTATATAAAAGAACTTCTCTACAAGTGCCAAGAACACAGTAAGGTACATGAATGAACCATAAAAAAGATAATCACCACTCATTTAACAAATTTTAACTGTGAGCCTATTATAAGCCAGTAAACAAAAATGACATAACCCTACCCTCTCAAAGAAACTCTGAAATCACCAGCAAATTATAATACCACATGTTATCATAACCTAAAACAACACAGGAGGAACTTAGGTATTTGTCATTCATACACTCATGCATATAAAAAATTTCTTGGCCACTATTTTATATCCCAATCACTACATTAAGTACGAGGGATAAAAAGATGTGTAAGGCATCTTATATAGTAAACTTCTGGAGTGGATACGCTTCATGATGATTTGTAAAAACAAAATAACTATATGATAGAAGTGTAAAAATTTCTAAAAGAAAAGGCATACAGCCAATAGTAATTGAGAGATTAGCTGGCTACCTCCCAAAAAAGCTCCAACACTGGTAATACGTGAACAGGTCACTTGAACTCCTTATACATACTGATGAAAGCAAGAGCAATTTTTTGTTCACCAAAGACAGATGTTCAGACTCTGTGGCTAACTAAATATCTAGAAATAAAGAAGGTTTATGTGCTCACTTTGGCATATACTAGTGCATATACTAAAATTGGAATGATACGGCAAAGAAAATTAGCAAAAATTAAAAAAGGCTTACTACTGTATTAGACTATAAGGAAAGAGAACAAACCTAATTTATCTTCCTAAAGCTGTAACTCAAGATAACAACAAAATGTATTTTTGTTTTGTTTTGTTTTTTTTATGGACGAGGTTCTGGGGCCCAAGAGAGGGGGAACCCAGAAGTCGCCCAACAAAATGTAACATGTAAACAAAAACAGTAAACTCTTTTTTCAAAAAGAAACAAGATGTTCCCCAAAGAATAGAGCACATTCTTTATTTTTTATTTATTAATTTATTTTTTGAGACAGAGTCTCACTCTGTTGCCCAGGCTAGAGTGCCATGGCGTCAGCCTAGCTCACAGCAACCTCAAACTCCTGGGCTCAAGCGATCCTCCTGCCTCAGCCTCCCAAGTAGCTGGGACTACAGGCATGCGCCACCATGCCCGGCTAAGTTTTTCTATATATTTTTAGTTGGCCAATTAATTTCTTTCTATTTTCAGTAGAGATGGGGGTCTCGGTCTTGCTCAGGCTGGTTTTGAACTCCTGACCTTGAGTGATCTGCCCGCCTCTGTCTCCCAGAGTGCTAGGCACAGGCATGAGCCACCACGCCCGGCCAAGCATATTCTTTAATGGTACATATTCCTCCAATACAGTACCCAAGATACTATATGTCAGTAGTACACTAATTCCTAATACTTATCTAAAGAGAGAAATCATTACCTGATTTGTAGGCATTTTCGGCACATTGACCTTCCACATCTGGGCTTCCCTAGAGATTGCCTTTTCCAATAGGAAAGACAATCTCTGGTTTTCCAAAGGTCCTGGAAACTTCATGATATCCTCTGGATCTGCCTGCCACCCAGCTTGATGTAGCTACCTATAAAATCAAGTATGTTTATTTAATTATAGGATAAGTACAGCATCATATATATATATAAATGTTGGTACTTATTACGCAATTCATAGACAAAATATTATAAGAATGTTAGAGGCAGTATACTTTATAGCTCTTTAAAGTATCATATAGGCCAGGCCCGGTGGCTCATGCCTATAATCCTAGCACTCTGGGAGGCAAAGATGGGTGGATGGCTAGAGGTCATGAGTTCGAAACCGGCCTGAGCAAGAGAGAGACCCCATCTCTACTAAAAATAGAAAGAAATTAATTGGCCAACTAAAAACATATAGAGAAAATTGGCCGGGCATGGTGGCGCATGCCTGTGGTCCCAGCTATTGGGAGGCCGAGGCAACAGGATCACTTGAGCCCAAGAGTTTGAGGTTGCTGCGAGCTAGGCTGACACCATGGCACTCCACCCTGGGCAAAGAGTGAGACTCTGTCTAAAAAAAAAAAAAAAAAAAAAACCCTCAAAGTTAAGTAATTCTTTCATGCCATTAGCTACACCCAACTAGATCTACTAGGCCTTCTCAACACACCCCAATGACTGGCTGTCACTATTGAATACTGTTCCTTTACAAAGTTTCCTTTACAAGGTTTAGATGAGAACAGAGAAAGACATAGAGGGTAGAATCATGTAAAGAAGAGTAAGACCAGATTCAAAGGATTCCTGTTCTCCAATCTCCTACAATTAAGGTCCTTAGTAAGACTTGAATATTTAGATGTTGTAACAACTTTTTTAAAACAAAGGAATTTGGTCAAAGAATTCACAAGGCAAATTAGAAAATACTTGGAGATGAATGAAAATCAAACAACAATACTAAAACTTATGAGATTCAACAAAAGCAGTACTTAGAGGAAACTAATATCTGAAAATGCCTACATTAAAAAAAGAACATCTCATGGAATCTGCAAGCCTTGGGGCCACATGTGGCCCTCCAGATCCCCTAGTGTGGCCTCTCATCTGAATCCAAACTTCACAGAACAAATCCCTTTATCGAAAAAGATTTGTTCTGTAAAATTTGGATTGAGTCAAAAGGTCACACTCAAGGATTCAGAAGGCCACATGTGGCCCCAAGGCTGCAGGTTCCCCACCCCTAGATCTTCTACCTTACAACAATGGGGGGGGGGGAAGGAAACTGTACCTAAAGCAAACCAGAAGCAGGCAAATAATACTAGAATGGAAATTAATGATGTAGAGAATCAAAAACCATTGGAAAAAAACAAATCAATGAAACCAAAAGTTGGTACTCTGAAAGGATCAAACTTAGCAAACCTTTAGCTCAAACTGACCAAGAAAAGAAACAGAGAATAAATTACTAAAATCAGGAATAAAAAAGGGACATTACTGCCCACCTTACAGAAGAATAGTTATAAAGGAATTTTATGAACAATTACATGCAAGTAAACGAGACAATTTAGATCACATGGACCAATTCCTAGAAACAAACTACTAAAGCTGACTTAAAAAGAAACAGAAAAAAAAAAAAAGATTTAGTAATTTAAAAACCACTATCATAGAACATTCCATGCCCAGATAGCTTCACTGGTTAATTCTACCAAACATTTACTGAAAAATTAAAATGAATTCTTAACAAATTCTTCCAAAAAACACAAGATGAAACCTTCCCAACCCACTGTATGAAGCCAGTTATTATCCTGCTACCTATACCAGACAGGCTTCACCAGAAAACTAGACTATTATCTCTTCTGAATATAGATGCAAAATTCCTCAACAAAATATACTAGCAAATTAAATCCAGCAACATAAAAAAAAGAGTACTACACACCATAACCAAGTGGGATTTGTTCTAGGAATGCAAGGTTGTTCTAACATTCAGAAATCAATTAATGTAATACATCATACCAATAGAATCAAAAGGGAGTCATTCTTTGTTTACACTAGGCAAATGTAACAGAGAAAATGGAGATAGTTCAAATTTTCTTATACTTTTTTTTTTTTTTTTTTGAGACAGTCTCACTTTGTTGCGGGGGCTAGAGTGCGGGAGTCAGCCTCGCTCGCAGCAACCTCAAACTCCTGGTCTCAAGGAATCCTCCTGCCTCAGTCTCCCAGGTAGCTGGGACTACAGGCACACACCACCATGCCCAGCTAATTATTTCTATTTTTAGTTGTTTGGCTAATTTCTATTTTTAGTAGAGACAGGGTCTCGCTCTTGCTCAGGCTGGACTCTAACTCCTGAGCTCAAGCAATCCTCCTGCAACTTGGCTAGGATTACAGGTGTGAGCCACAGCAACCAGGCACCACATAAACTCTTTATCTGGACCTGCAGATCATCTCTACCGCTCCTTCTCAATCCAAGCTGATTCTATTATCTGCCTTTCATCAGTATTAAGAAACTTCTCCTAGTCCAGGAGCTCAGAATCTCTCATCTCTCAGGTCCCAGATTAGCCAATCTAATCCCTGTCCAATTCTTTCTTAATCTATTTGTCCATTTCTATTTCACCTGCCACAAATGACCTGGAAGAAAAGCTAGAAGCAGACACCACCACTATCTTTTCAACAAACTCATTTTCAGGACACAGACCACACAGCCTAAAGTCAATACTGAATTCTGGCCAAGGGATTCTAGCCGTATTACCTACGGGGGGAAATTACCTTATCTTGTGGTATCTCAGTTTTCCTCTTCTGTAAAATGAGGCTCCTACTACCAGCCTCAAGGAATCCTTTGGAGAATTAAATGAATTGCAAGCCACTTAACGGAGTGCCTGGCAGATAATCAGCCTCATCAAGTGGTGTTGTTATTTAACATCATGCTCTGCGGCTCCAATGTGGAGTGGCTGTCCACTGACAGAATGGAATCTAAATATTTCAGCCTGACAAAGACTCACACAGTCTGAATCCATCCCACCTCTCCCGTACCTTCCACTATTCTGTTGCCCTGTCGAAAGGACCTGCAGTGGAACCCCTAACTCAGCAGAAGCTCTTCTGCCTTCCTTCCAAAATCCCGGTATTTTGACCTGACCTTCAGGGTGCAACTCTGAAGTCACCTCCTCCGGTCTCCCTCACCCTTAGGGGACGTTCCCCTCCCCTGGATCCCCGCAGCGCCGGCCGCTCCCCCAATCCCTCGGCATTCACTCAGCTTTGCAGTGAGCTATCCCGCCGCGGTCCCCGCAGGAGCGGGCAGGACCGAGGGTGGGGGTGTGTCCCCTTCTTTGTGCACTGACACAGGCTGGCGGCGCCGCGGACGTGCACCAGAGTGGGCCATTTGCCGCCTCCACGGAAAAGTTACTCGCAGACAGAGAAACTGGCCCGAAAAGAGCGCAGCTAGGCCGTTTGCAAACCGGGCAAGTGCCGGGCCAGACAGGACTACGAAGGGGGCGTCACCGAGGTCTCCCGCGGGGAGCGCGCGACAGCGGGCGGCGACAACGACCGAGCGCGGGCGTCGGTCGCCGGGACGACGTCGAGCCCCCCCCGCCCCACCCCCTCACCTCTTCCTCCTCCTCCTCCTCCTCCTCGGCAGTGCTGTAGGCCTCACAGTGGTGACGCGGGGTCATCCGGGGACCCGTTACCACCGCATGCTCCTCGGCGCGCGGCGGCGGGGCGCGGGCCGGGCCGGCTGAGGAGGGAGGCGAGGGGACCGGGCCGCGGGGCGCAGGCGCAGGCGCGGGACGCACGGCTGCGGCCGGCGGGCCAGTCAGCGAATTAGTTCCATGGCGCCCCCGGGCCTGAGGCCGCCGCTCGAGCCCGGGTGCGGAGGGGGCTCCCAGTCGCCATAGGGCGGCGGGGGCCGGGGAGAGGCGGGGGGGGAGACCGGCTCTGCCCCTGCCCGGGGGAAGCGCCTCCGAGGGGAAATGGTGAAAGGGGGGGAAAGGGGGAAAAAGGAAAAAAAAAAAGGAAGGGGAAAGGGGGAAAAAATAAGAAAAAGCGAGACAGAGGCGCAACCGCGTCCGCTCGCGGGGAAGGCTGGGGAGGGAGGGGAAGGGCGGAAGAAGCGCCGGCTTCCTCGGCTCCGCCCTCGCGGACCGATCCCAGAGGTCTCCCTCCTTGTAAACAACACTGAACTGGAGTTTCACCCCTCCCCCTTTTTCTTCACCGGCGACTTTCGGATCCAACGAATGTACAGAGAAGTCCTGCCAAAAATCTGGACTGTTGGAAATTGGGCTGGGGACCTTTGGCACTGGGGCGGAAACAGGGAGGACATTTTCTGCGGACTAAGAAAAGCCAAAGGTGCGCGGACTCATTTTCGTTGGCCGAGGCGGAAGGGTTACCTCGTTGGTCTCACGGTGACGTCAACGCCTCCTCCGCCGGCAGGAAGAGGCGTGCGGCTGCCGGAGAGTACGCTGCGCATGCGCGCCGGGGAGGACCGTCGCGGCCTCTGGAGCTGCGTGTGGGGGAGGGGTTCTCCCGGGTCCGCGTTCCGGCCAAACGTGGCACTGCCTGGCGTTTTCCAAGCCGGCTCGTTTCCATGGCTTGCAGGAGGGCTTTATCGTGAAGGGGCTGCTGATGTATCGTGTGGAGATCTTAGATTCTTTTTGACCTGGCACAAAAAAGTTACATGTGTTCTCTAGTTACCGTTAACCTATAAACAGAATTATGCGGGCTTTTACTGCTCCACGTCGTGTTAAAGTGACGGGAGATTCTAAAGCGCTTCAGAAATCGGTCATTTGGCGGGGGATCAGTATTCTGGGTGTTTAAGGCGGTCATTGAAAACCGTAAATTATCCTGGTCGTGGCCGGGAACCTGCCAGGGGTATTCTGTCCGCGTAACCGGCACGTCTGAGGATTTCTGAGGAGGTTTTATTAACCTGGTTCTCAACTCCTGTGCAGTGACAGAAATGCGTTTTCCTTGGTGTTCTGGTATTTTTTTTTTTTTTGCTCATCTTAATTGTTTTAATTGCTTAAAATAGGTAGTATTTTAAACAAAGTTTCGAAAGAAAAGCGGGGAGAGGGAACCTCAGGTTGTCAACCATGTATAGCAGTAGTCTCATTTGGGTTTTTTCCCCATTTCTGCCTTAATGTGCCTGTTTTAATAATAAGTGAAAAAATAACGTGTGGAGCTTAGTCAGCGGCCAGACGCTAGCAAACCCGGAAGTCGCCCAGACAGAAACAGTTCCTGCCCTTCATGCAGTTTGCAGTCCACACAGAGAAGAGCCGTTGAGGTAATTATCACTGATCTAAAATGTCTCAGGACAGTGATTTGTTTACTTGTGCATGGATCCCTTCCCTAAAAATTAAGGTCACAGATGGCAGGGATCTTACAAGTTTTTCTTTCACCCCGTATCCCTGCATGTTAAAAGACTCAATATTTGATGACTGGCTGAATAAACAATTACCAGTACCAAAAACATTAAGATGGAAAATATACAGGCTGCGATGGAAACGCTTACCCCCTAGCCTAGGTTGGGATATCAGAGAAGGTTTTTCTGAAGAAGTGACATTTAAGATGAGATGTGAAATCACTGGGCAAAGAATGATAACAGGCAGAGGTAGCGACATTGGTAAAGGCTTTCTCTGAAGCTGAGACACTCCAAAAACCGCTGACAGTTGATGGAGAGCAAGCTGAGGCCAGGTGGGAAGGCAGGGGGCAGATCCCATAGGACACAGTAGGGAGTAGGAAGCCTCGAAGCATTTCAAGTGGCTTGTAGCCTTCCTTTTTTTTTTTTCCCCTTAATGTAACCTTTTCCAGTATTACTTACATGGTCTTCACACAAGAAAGCCAATATTTTTCTACACATGATACTCGTGAGTGTAGCATTTTTGCATAATACTGTTGAGAGTGTAGCATAATTTCACTGTTGGACCATAAAATTTCTTCTGATTTTCATTCCTACACTCCTATAAGAATAATACAAATTCCACTCCTAGGTAGGTATATACCCCAGAAAAATGAAAATATATCTATACACAAAAACTTACAGATGTTTATAGCAGCATTATTCATAATAGCCAAAAGGTGAAACAACCCAAATGTCCATCAGCTGATGAATGCATAAACCAAATGTGTTACATCTATACAGTGGAATCTTATTCTGCCATAAAAAGAAAGTACTAATACATGGATGGCCTTTGAAAATATGCTAAGTGAACGAAGCCAGTCACAAAAGACCAGATGTTATAAGATTTCATTTATGTGAATATCCAGAATAATCAACTATATAGAGACAAAGTACATTAGTGGTTGGTGAGGGCTGAGAGTGGGCATGGGTTTGGGGGGTGATACCTAAAGGGCATCTAATTTCTTTTTCAGGTGAGGAAAATGTTCTAAGATTGATAATGATAATTGATAATGATAAGTATCCCTTATCCGAAATGGTTAACAACCAGAAGTGTTTTGGATTTCAGAATTTTTTTGGATTTTGGAATATTTGCATTATGTGCTTACTGGTTGAGCATCCCTAATCTGAAAATTCATGTTTGCACACAAAAAGTTTTGGATTTTCAGATTAGCGATACTCAACCTGTACTAAAAATCATCGAATTGTATTTGTGTGGTGTATGAATGATATATTAATAAAGCTTTTACTCAAAAAAATGAAAAAAGATTCAATTAAATCTTCATGCATGACCTCTTTGAGGTTATTGCTGGATCCTACAGTATTTACATTCGTATGGCTTTTGAAAAATACCCATTTGCAAAATTGCTTGGCAGAGGGTTGAACCAATTAAAATGTAACTAGGAGTCTTTAAAAGCTCCCATTTAATTATATACTTACCCTTTTTGAAGTTTAGGTTTATTAAAACTGTCTTACTGTCTGTGAGATTGCCAATGACAATTTAGTCTACACTACTATAAATATAATTACAAGTAATTAATAGGTGGGTAAGGGTAGTTCCAGTTACCTGAACAAAAAATATGGACGTTCTTTTCCTTAACCATTCATTAAGACCTTACTTTAACTCAACATCACTTTTATGTTAATAACTGTAATACTGTTTTTCCAATGAATTCTAGTTATAAAAAGTGGAAAGTTTATGAAATCTGAGAAAATAAATAAGGCATTTAAAGAAAACATATTAATATCCATGTATTGGTAAGGAATTTATATTTTTTTAGGAATGTTTCCCTTTTATCCTAAATAGTAAAATGAGACTACCATTCTACATTGGTGTTCGAGAATAATAACAACTGATACATACTGGTGATTAGCTATGTACCAGCCATTATACTAAGCACTTTGAATGCATTCTCTTGCTTTTATTCCCACTGTATTGCTCTATAATATGTATTTTTATTGTCCCCACTTTACAGAGGATAAAGAGTAAGTAAAGTAAATCCCCAAGATTGATCACACAGTTTAGAGAGAGGCACAGCCAGGATTCAAACCCAGCTTGACTGACTCCAAAGCATAGTGTGCTTTCAATCACTACTATTCACTGCCTCAATCTATGGATATTTCTGGCCTGCATTAAATTTTAGGACAAAAATAACATTATGGTTATTTTTGGCAATAAGGCATACCTCTAATCCTAGAACAAATATATATATTTTTAAATGTAGCAAGTGGTTGTAATTTTTGTGTCTAAAGAGTTGATTTTTTGGCCGGGCGCAGTGGCTCACGCCTGTAATCCTAGCATTCTGGGAGGCCGAGGCGGGCGGATTGCTCAAGGTCAGGAGTTCGAAACCACCCAGAGCAAGAGCGAGACCCCGTCTCTACTATAAATAGAAAGAAATTAATTGGCCAACTAATATATATAGAAAAAATTAGCCGGGCATGGTGGCGCATGCCTGTAGTCCCAGCTACTCGGGAGGCTGAGGCAGGAGGATTGCTTGAGCCCAGGAGTTTGAGGTTGCTGTGAGCTAGGCTGATGCCATGGCACTCACTCTAGCCTGGGCAACAAAGCGAGACTCTGTCTCAAAAAAACAAAAACAACAACAAAAAAAGAGTTGATTTTTACTGGAAAAGAGATTCAGAGTTGTTTTATTTCAGGACTGGAATATTGAATCTTGAAATAAAAACATACTTTGCTTCAAATGCAGAGCGGCAGAGTAAGGAAGCAGCACCTGAGAAACAGCTATCATAGTAAAGGCTCTGTGTTGCAAAATAGTGTAAGGTGAGACCCCCTTCAGAATTCTAGGACTACTGAAGGGAATCAGATGGAGATGAACACAAAGTGGTTTGCTATCATGAAATCTTTCAAAAAATACAATTAGAAATGCACCTACATTGTTATGAGTTAAGAAAGCAAGGTTATTTAATGTTTAATCACAGAAATTTCTAGCCTTCTTTGTCCTAAATGGAATTTATAGGTAATGTTCCCACCAGACAATTTACTGTCTTCTTAGGAGAAATGTTAAAACCTTCAGGAACAAAGGAAATAATTTACTGTCATTATAGTCACTTATTTAGCATCTGACTACACTTAAGGATTCTGTTAACAGCTTCTAACTGCTCTACTGAAGCAGAATGTGTGAGTAGACCTCCCCACCAACCATAAAGAGATCAAGAGAAAAGGTGTCCCCATCCACCGAATAATTTAAAGACCTTCTGCTTAATATTAAGTGGGGAGAAACTGCTCAGAGAGAAAATGTCAAAAATTCTAAAATAGGAAACCTCAGGAGGCCAGGTGTGGTGGCTCAGGCCTGTAATCCTAACACTCTGGGAGACCGAAGCAGGAGGATCATTTGAGCTCAGAAATTCTAGACCAGCCTAAGCAAAAGCGAGACCCTGTCTCTACTAAAAAATAGAAAGAAATTAGCTGGACAACTAAAAAAAAAAAAATATATATATATATATATATACACACACACACACACACACATATAAAATTAGCCGGGCATAGCTGGACAACTAAAAAAAATATATATATATATATACACACACACACACACATATAAAATTAGCCGGGCATAGTGGTGCATGCCTGTAGTCCCAGCTACTCGGGAGGCTTAGGCAGGAGGATCACTTGAGCCCAGGAGTTTGAGGTTGCAGTGAGCTAGGCTGACACCTTGGCATTCTAGCCCAGGCAACTGAGTGAGACACTGACTCAAAACAAAA